ATTCTGTCTTTTTACAAGTGATGTTTAGTCCTTTCTTCGTGCCTTCCTTTATTAACTTCTTTCGGAGTTTCTATATTTGTCTTTCTATGTCTGCTATCAACACTGTGTCATCTAAATATCTAATTTTGTTAAAATTGTGGTTGTCAATAATGAATCCTTGTAGGACTCCTAATTCTCTCAGAATTGCTCCAATGTATAAGTTGGCGAGAAGAGACTCTTGTCTTATACCCCTTTCTATATTATTTACATTGTTTGGACTATTGTCCTCATCTTTGTCGCCATATTTATTACAACATTTCAGTCGTTGTACGCTCTGGCCTTCATCAGTTGGCTGGAATGTCGAACTGAACCTTTTATTTCAAGGACACATGACATTTCAAATATCAACACATTAAGATTTCTTACCTTTACTACCAAAGCTTTCGAAAATGTTCTCAAACATGTTTATTTAATATACTAATTTTCTCCATCTAAAATTTCCAAGCCAACATAGTCATAACGCTGAACCGAGACATTCAAAGATCAAGGCAAAATGATTCCACTTTTTCTCTGGAGAAGTTTACAATCAAGGAAGATCTGTAACGAATCCGCAAATTCGCAGAGGACAGAGAAGGCTTGCAAAATATTGCTGAATATTCTATAATTTTGGCAAGAAGAGTGACATTTCCAAAGGTCACAGGAATATTTTGAAAGGGTGGATGTTATTATCGAGAAGTAGAAAAACTGATTATTATATTAAAACAGCATGGAGGATTTTCGAAACCTACAGAGAAATGAGGAGAAAAATTCAAGCCTGTTCGCACGAATTAGAAGTGTGTTATCTTTACGCTTCACACTTACAAGTGGAAAGACTCGAGAGACATTATTCTCGCTCTCGCACGCATAAGAATTAAAAGCTGGAGGACAGATAATTAAAGAACGATGCCCGGTTTGTCACGTGTGATTATCTGAGAACTAGAGAAATGGTATTAAGATGTTGAACATCGATAGGAACGGTGACAATTTTGTATTTTTGGTTTCAAATGTTATTTTGGGCGATTTGTTAATGTAGTGAAAGTAGCGACATTTGGTGTTTGGTATTTCTTGATCTGAATCGTTTTTCTTTTTGTACCTATCAGATATTTCAATGGACACCATGCACGCTGACTAACAAAGAAGAAAAACGAGGCACACGCGCAAACACATACACACACACATACAAATACATACACACACACACACACATATAATAATAATAATAATAATAATAATGGACTCTCCCGTCGGTTTCGACGTATGAGGATCTGACAGCTTATTGATTCAGTTATGAAAGTTTATGCGATAATCTTAAGTGGCATTTAAGACCCGCTAGTGATTTACAAAGGAGGTCGCATATATATATATATATATATATATATATATATATATATATATATATATATATATATATTGTTTCAAATTTGTTATATTCATAACTGAATAGCATTCAGTATTAGTTATCAATAGATATATAGTCCAATGATCGCATCAGGTGTAAAACTAGCAGTCATTATGCAGTTCCTCTGTACACTCTTTCTATTTATCTATCTGAAACATATATATATATCATCTCTTTCTCTCTCTTTTCCTTTCTCTTTTCCTCTCTCATTCTATAATTTATATAGTGATTTAATAAGCATAGCTATTGTACAAGGCCGAGATTAAGGAGAATTACTTAGTCATAACTGATCTAACGAGACAAGCCTGCTAACCATTACACCATATCGACGGGCTTCTCCTCCCCCACTCTCTCTCTCTCTCTATATATATATATATATACTTGACTCTCCCGTCGAATTTGATTATAGCGGTAATGAAGTGCCGAATACTGAGACCTGGCGCACTACGCGCCACAAGGTCCCCAAACGATCCTCCACAGCTCTTGAATTCAGAGTTGTCCTTCTCCTTGAGCAGTTGCCATCCAAGGCTGTAGAACCCAGTCTGTCCTGCTATTAACCCATAGCTGAAAGGAGAAGAAAAGGAATAATACCTTTCCCATGGGTATTAGCAGGTAAGTGAATGTATTGGTTTCGACTGGAATTCGAACTCTGCTCTCCGATTCCTCATTCCAAGTCGCTATCCAAAATGCTATCATTATCCTTCAGACCAGCAACTCATAACAAGCTTTGTTGTTTCGTGATTAAATGTATCATGGTTGCATTTATTCATTTTAATTTCCGAGTACTTTTGATATATTCAAGATATCATCTTCATGGTTATGATGGTTAGGACAATCAGTTGTGTGTCAAAAATAAGTTTGTGTCTAAACGCTTAACGATTCCGGTCAGCGCAAAGACATAAATGGTGATTTTTTTTTCTTATATTGGGTTACAATTTGTTATAATTGTTCCTTATTATAATTTAAGAATTGAATTCTTGTAGTAGATTATAGTTTTCTTGCTTTTAAAAAAAAAAAAAAAATTTCAGATTTAACGTAGATATTCTAAAGAACTATATACTATAAGTATTTCAGAACATTTGTATCATATTCATAACTAATTTTCTTAACTGTTGGTTTTAATTTTTTTTAAAAGATGGTTTCAAGAATTTGTAGCTTCTGTTTATTACGTGCTTCGTGACGTATTTGCGTATTGTCGACTGAAATACTTCTAAATTGTGAATGTGGAGGAATGTCTTTGTAGATGTTGTGCAATGTAGGATGGATCATTCATGTGTAGAGTGAGCCGTCTTGATAGCGTTATTGTAGAATGATCAGCATATACATTCGTTTTTTTTGTTTTTTATCAGAGATCCAATCTCTCAAGGTACATTTAAATTGATATATAATGTTGGTTTTCTGCAATACGTCAACTGGTGGGGAAGAGTTAATACGCTTGATAAAGTTGTTTTTATTACATTTGTTAGAGTATATAATTATTTTTAATTTTTACTGGGATCTATAGGGAATATATTAGCATTTCTGTTTTTTTTTAGGATTTTTCATCTTGTTCATATTCAGAATTTACTTTTAAAGGACATTTACTTTTCAGATTATCCCGGAAACTGCTAAATTTCGAATACAAAACGTAAATAAAACAGTACCTAGAGAATTAATGGATTTTTATTTTATAATCCGACATAATTTTTTATTACTTCAAGTATTATTTTAGTGGATACCCGTATTTGGAGGAGACGTTCCATTTTATTTTTAAGTATTTATTTCGTAGGGGTAACCAGTAAAAATATGGTTTGAATTAATATATATATATATATATATTTTCTGTCTCTCCATATATATATATATATATATATATATATATATATATATATATATATATATATAATAAATTATGATCGTCTGTACTATATGTATATCTATACATATAATAAGTACAGTTGATCCTTGATTTATTTCATGAATATATATATATATATATATATATATATTCATCTGTTCAAACCGAAGTTTTTCTTTTTATAAATGGAGTCAATTTGTCAAGACACACGGAAGATGGAGAGAAAGAAAAAAGTAATAAGGAAAGGAAAAAAAAATTATATTAAAGGAAGATTTTTTCCCCAATATCACCTTTCCTAACAGAATTACTACTCCCCCAAACCAACTATATAATACCATAATAAAGAAAAAATTGTGGGGAGATAAAAAAGAGCCAGAGAGGGGAGAGAAGGCGAGAGTGAGAGACGGTGGGGAAGAAAAGAAAGGAAAGAAAGAATAATTAAACGAGTTGATAGGGTGACCTAAAAATGATTTTTTTCTTTACGAGCTGAACTAGTTAAAATACAGAAATCAGACTTAAAGTAGACACAATCATAATGTCTAATATTAATGTCATTTTCAACAGCTTCATCGCATTATAATCATCACAATTTTCAAAATAATAGTAATTATGATAATAATAATAATAATAATAATAATAATATTTGACATCAATAAAATAAAGTAAGTTAAATAATGATATTATATTGTCCTGTTTCTTTCATTGAGCTCACTTTGGATTCATGTCCTCCTTGGAATCATTCCTACCAATTATCAACGCTAACAAATTAAAAAGGCATTAAAATATTTCTAAAACTCTTCTGAGACAATCCTCTAATTATTGGACCAGTAGTCCATATCACGTCAACGAAAAAACACTTAGAATAATAGAAATTGTAAATTATTACTCAATATTAAAAAATCTAACGTCGCATTACTACGCGTTACAAAAAAAAAAATCTTAACTGTTAATACTTGCACATTTTTTTAATAAAGCATCTTTCGACAAGTGATCACATTCATTTTTGTCTTAGGATTTTACCCGAAAGTACCTTAAATTGAGAAAAAAATCTATGCCTGAAGATGGTAAATGTTTTTATCGAAAGTAGCCGCAAACAATGTGGACCGAACATCTAATCCATTGTACAATTAATAAAAACAAGGATCGTGTCGTTCAGCGAGTGGTCAGTGAGTTAATGCTTTCTTAATCTGTGTTGCGTGAAACCCTCTTATAGTATAATGAACTCTTCCTTCTCTCATAAATACAAACTGCAAGAGTCAGACGGCAGTGCAGAGTGTGAAGTGGAGCGGAGTAGTAGAAGCAGTGCTAATCTACTTATTACTAGCACTATTGTTTCGTATATATCTTCAATATACTTTTTTCAACCGAACTTCGTCTTCCGTGTCTTTCTTTCTGACCCCTAAACAGGGCACAACAGTTAGAGAAGTGAGTTCGCCATTAACTACATTTATTTTTTGAATGACTATTTTACAATATTAATAAATCTGCATTATGTACTATATATATATATATATATATATATATATATATATATATATATATATATATGTGTGTGTGTGTGTGTGTGTGTGTTCAGATGCACATTGGAGAAAGAGACCTCAGTTTCATATTAAATATACAGGGTATAATGTCAAGTATAGCCGACCACCCGATGATTTCGTGAAAACGCAAGAAAGTTTTGGTTGGCTCGAGTCCAGCAGGAATTTATATATATGTGACATTGGAATCTCCGGAGTTTGATCCAACAAAAAGAGAAAGAAAGAATGAATAGAAGAGAGGGAGAGAGAGAGGGAAAGAAAGAAGGAATAGGAGAGAGAGAAAGAAAGAAGGAAGAAGGAATAGGGGAGAGAGAGAGAAAGAAAGAACGAATAGGAGAGAGAGAAAGAGAAAGAAAGAAAGAAGGAATAGGAGAGAGAGAGAGAGAGAGAGAGAGTCTACTAACTGGATGATAATTGTTGAAATTGCAAGAAGATGGTTTGAAAAATTGAGAATAAAATTAAAAAAGAAATGCGTTTTTCAAAATAATTCCAAGGAGAATCGAACCCAGATTTAACTCGACAAAATTTGGTAAGGTTGAATAAACCTAAGACTTCCCATCATCCCCACACTCCCCATCGATAAGAAAGAGACCATTAAAGTATCTGCGAAGATGTCAAATAAAATAAAATTGTCGATAGAGAAATCTGAGTGGTCAGCGAGATAGCATTCACGATTTCACTGGAATCAGACAAAATAAAAACATGTTTCGAATCCATCCAGAAGAAAAGAATCCCCACGCGTTGGTCATTATAATTTCAGCGACATTCGTCCAGAGAAAATTTTATATCCAAAAAGTGATTCGGATTCCCTTGGATACAAGTGGTAAGAAAAAATGAATTACTATTTTGAAGCGACCATGAACGAGAAAGCTGTGTGGTCTATTCTCAAAAGGGGGCTGGACAACCCCAAATTTGGAAGACCACTTGAGTAAATTCAATTTTATATATGAAAATTTCCGTTCCGTATAGGATACAGGTTCGATTCCTGTCGGAGGATGCATATTTTCTATGAAAATTTCTCGGACATTCAGGCCAGTAAATGTTATTAATACTGTTTATTATGAACAGAGTATTTACTTAAATACTTGTATCTATAATAAGAACGTATAAACATAAAAAATGTCTTTATATATGGATGCTGTGACAATATTTTGCGGCACACTTGAGTGGATCGTGCTGCTTCCCTAGCTGAGCCATTATACGGTGAGTGAGAATCACTGTTTAAATTTTGGTATTTCTGTTGAGTATTTTCTGCAGTTTATTCGATTTAGGTTGTTTCTTTTTGTCGATGGAGTTTATGAATAATTTACCAATATTTCTTTTTACATTTTTTATTATATGGTTGGTTAAATGATATGATGGGTTTATTATATGGTGGGTTGAATGTAGATTGTATTTCTTTGTTCGGTTAGGTGTAAATATAAGTTCCGCAGCCCAACAACATTTATTCTTCTCTCAAACTCGCTTTTTGCTTCATTGGAAGTTGTTTGCTTGGCTCGTTGTCAGATAATCTGCGATTGAGAGAGATTGGAATTTTTTTTTGATTACAGTAGAAGGTTGGTTGGTGGGGGAAGGGTGTATATAATGTGTTTTGTCGTTTGGTTTCCCGTACGCTTCGTATTTCCATTCGTGGGGTTTAAAATTACCTCTAAGTAGTTTACATCTTTTTAGTTTGTTTTAATATTGTTTTCATATCCTATTTCTTGTTATTTCCTGATTTTATCTGTTTTTTTTATACCTTGTAATGTAAAATCCAATGTATTTTTTGCTAATATTAGCTTGTGTGCGCCGAATATACCTATTCGGGACTGTTCCTAAACAGACCATGATAGATTCTGCAGTCTATTTTGTATATAATATAATGTTAATATTATTATTTCATTTTGTGTTAAATAAATCATTTATCGCTTTTAAAGTAGTTTTAATAAGGTTTATATCATGAATAGATAAAATACTTTAAAAAATGATTAAAACAAAGTATTTAAAATAACATAATCGGATAATAGTGAAAAAAATTATTTGAAAAAGAAGTTTAATATTTATTCATTTGAATTTTAGAGATTATTGAGTTGATAAATTTCATGTCTAGTATTTCAATTATTTATATTATTTGTTTTTAAGGATTTTGTAAGATTTCCTCATTACATTATAGGATGGACACCCCGAGGCGGTGTAATGGTTAACAAGCTTGTCTCGCCAGAACTGAGTAGTGAGTTCGATCCTCACTGGGTGCCCCCTACTACGCTTGGAAAATAAGTATAGATTATTGGAGGATTTTAAAAGTATTGGAGTATTGGAGCTTGCTGCTCGGTTTGAGGAATTTTAGAGTCGAGTTCGAATTCCGGTCGAGTTCATTAAATTCACTTACATGCTAATACCCTTGGGAAAAGAATCAATCACTCTGCCACCCAGCTATGGTTAAAGAGCAAAACAAAATGGGTTCCTTTGGGGGCAACCGGTCTCGGAGAAGGAAATTCAAAACTGTCTGTAGCCTCGGGGGAGGAGACACATACTATGCAGCTAAAGGAAAGGATCGTTCGTATTGACTCGATGATCCCGACTACGGAAAACTCCTTTTTTTTTTTTTTTAAGTATTTCTCTTTACGATGTAAATATTAATACGTCATATTAATATTTTTATTGATAAATCCTGAGATTTTGGTCATTCGGTCAGCTTTGAGGAAGTGGGTTAGAGCGAGAACTTTTCAGCACCACCACATCTACTGCAGCCGTAGCAGAATTGGTGTATCTTGGACAAGTTAATCTGACAGAGTCCAACAGTCTTCAGTATGAATTCTGTGTTTCATTCCCCTATGTTTGCTAACCAAAGCTATAGGACCCCAGTCTGTACTGTTATTTATCCAAAGAAGGTGGCGGGGGTGTGTGTGTGTGTAAAAGAGATGCATTCATATACCTTTCCCAAGAGCGTTCGCATGCAAGCGAATATAACGAATTCTCCGATTTTTCATTCAGAACTGTAATCCATTAACCCCCACCACTCATCCGAATATATACAATAATTCCCCGTCACTGAATATTTGCATATTTTCTAAGGAAATGCGAATACTTGCAAGTACTTACTGAATTTACCATAAATATTTGATTCCACATTTAGTTTGGAATAATTCATGAAATTTTTAGAAATTTCCATCTATTATATTTTCAAAGTTTAAGAAAGGCAAATTTGACTTGAAAGACAAACCACGCTATCACCACATAATTTTGGAAACAATGACTTGCATTTCTCTTTTTAGAGGGTGATCCCATTTTGAGCAACCATTTGATCATTGAATTGTTTGCTGTTATTGTAAGATTTCATATATTTAGCTCAACCGGACATATTTCTACATACTTAATTACAAATTGGGTGCGATAGATATGGAGAAATAAATCTTTTTTTTTATATATATATATATATATACACACACACACACACACACACACACACACACACACACACACACACAAACAGAGTTGAGTACAGAATAATTCACCCCAAATGAATATTTGCATATTTTCTAAGGAAATGCGAATATTTGCAAGTACTTACTGAATTTACCATAAATAGTTGATTTCACATTTAGTTTTGAATAATTCATTAAATTTTTAGAAATTTCCATCTATTATATTCATAGTTATAGATTTTTCTAAAAATTGGTGCTGTCCAAAATCATTCATCATCCCCCCACCCCACCTATGGAAATTCTCAAATAATATTACTCTATGGCAATTGTAATGTTTTTTGTTCTTTTTAATTTGACATTTAATACAAACACCCTTTGAAAATGAAATAGAATTGACTTGATTCTATAATATTCTAAAAGGTAATGAAGAAGACATTATATGAGTGCCATGTACTGTGATAACACATTCATTCTTCAATTATAGCAAAGACAGCTGAACTTGACAAAAAAGCTCTGAATTAAGATAATTGATGCATACAAACAAAGGTAATAGATATACAACACTTTCCAGGCATCTAATTGTTTCTAGATCAACAATTCATAGCATTATGAAGAAGTACAACGAAATATTGTTATGTTGAGAATAAATAAAGGATTGGCAGAAAATGGTTAATTTCTAAGAGAATGGAAAGCAAAATTGTTAGAGATGTCTCAAAGAATCCTCACTTAATGACAAAGTATACTGTCAATGATGTAAAGACATCAGTATTGAATGTATCAACGAAGACAGTCACTAAATGTTTTCATCAAGCAAGACTTGTCACCCAAGAAAAGCTTAAGGCTAAAGACCTAAAATTAAGATTAGCTTCTGCTAGAAGCCATCTAGAACATGGGAGTAAATATTGCAATTCTGTTTAATGGTCAGATGAAACCAAACTAGAATTATTTGGTCACATGAATTCCTGTTATGTATGGAGGAAAGTGAATGAGGCTCACAAACCAAAAAATACCCTCCCTACAATTAAGCCCAGTGGTGGGATCATTCTGTTCTGGGGATGTTTTGCTGCTTCTGGACCAGGAGAACTAGTAAGAGTATAGGCTATAATGGATAAAAGAGAAGTATTTGACTATTCTTAAAAATAATATAAAACAAAGTGCATGAAAGCTGTCATGTTTCAGTATGACAATAACTCAAAACACACGGTACGAATTGTTATAAAATACTGAGATGACAGCAAAATTGAGTTATTGGCGTACCGTGTACAAAGTCCTTGCCTAAACCCCATCGAAAATTTAGGGGCATATATAGAGAAAACAGTAAGAGAAAAAAATCCTTCGAATTTGGATGAACAAGAAGTTATTGCTAAAGAAGAATGGTGTAAAATACATACCAGTGTATGTAGTAATCTTGTAAGGAATTATCAAAAATGATTAAAAGCAATACTCAAGTATAAATGTTACACAACCGATTATTAAGGAAAGGGAGCCAATAATTTTGTCCTATGTTAAATATTTTTGTATCATTTTTGACATTTTTGACTTTTGTTGTGTGTATCACTATACATTTTTTAAAATCTATTATTTCACCATTTCAGAAAAAATGTACAGTTTCCATGAAAATTTGAGGTATTACAGTTTTATTTGCAATTATTGAAGTGGGGTTAGGAATTCTGTTCGCGATTGTACATATTAGGTAAAGTAAAAATAATCGTTAAAATCTCTTAAAAATAACACTAATCAAAAATGGTTTTACTACTGAGTCCAGAGCCTGTATTTTAGACGAAACCGCTAGCTTATTTACTTAAGAACGTTTACGAAGATTTTAAGAATGTTTACTCAGATTTTGGGACCAGAATTAAAATATATCCTATTTCCGTTGAAGGCAAATATATTAATATTAAACAAAAATAGGCTATATTTAAAATTCCTGAGAATGACGGCTGTTACGAGGTGGCATGCGTCAAATATGGCCATTCCTGTTTCTCTTAGAGACCTCTAGAGAGTATATGTCAGCTTTCAATATGACACAGGAAATGAAAAGTATGTTGTGTTCGGGGCATTTACCGCCAACTCAAGCAAGATTCTTAAAAATAGCCAGACGTACAAAAGACAGATGGATCTATTCGAACTCCACGTGTGTAGCCGTGGTGATGTACACGTCAGCTGAGATGATTCTGGGGGTATCATGTCATGCCTCCCTATTCTTTCTCTAAAGGCCAAGGGTTAACACAACCGCCTATATCGAGATTCTGTACAGGGTGATTAATTTGGATGACATTTATTAAATCGGGATTTATGTTGTAATTTATAATATAAAAAAAACGGGATTTATAATATATAAAACCCTTGCAGAAACATAGGCGAAACATCTTATCTTTAGTAAATTTAGGTAAATGCTCTGTTTATTTATTAAATAGTATATTTATTTATTTCTATAGGTCGGAATATTCGATAAATCTTATTAGAAAAATGCGTTCTCCAGTAGGATTAGAATTTGACTTTCCCGGGGCGGGGGAACAGGCATTAGATCTGACGTCCTTTGTCTTCTCAGCTACAAAGAACCAACTGACCTAGCAAATTTTGACTAGTGCTTTTTCCCGATTCTCAAAATATATATTTCTGATCAGTTTCGTATTCTAACGTAAACAGAGACACTTTTGGGGAATGGCTTATTCATTTATTAATCCGACATTTTTATTTTATTGATTAATAAGTGAAAAATCCATTTCTAACAGGCAGATTGATAATCCGTAGTTCTTTAGCATTTAGCACATCACATCAAAAATGTATTGGGAAAAGATCATCAGCCTACAACAAGCAATCAAAAACTTTCAAATTTTTCTTGGAGGAAAGAATAGCTATCATTACCTTCCCAGACCAAAAGAAATTATTATGGAGACATGCAAACAAATTTTTACTACGTTACTTAAAAATCGAAAACTTAAAAAAATAAAATAAGTAAATAAATAAACCAAAGGGCAATAAAATAAGTAAAATAAATTAACCTAAACAAATCATACCCGTTAGAATAGGCGAAATAGAATAAATAAATAAAAAATAAATGACAAAATCAATAAACCCAAACAAAGTAAATAATAAACTAATTAACAAACCATTATGACCAAAATATTAGTTAGACTATAAAAATCAAACCAAAAATCGGACGAAAAACATAGCTATAACTGTCATATAACGATAAAAAAATACTACATTACTTAAAAATCGAAAACAGAAAAATGTAAATAAAAATATACAGTATAATAAATAAATAATAAAAAACAAGTAAAATAAATTAATCTAAATTCATCCAAATAAATAAATTAATTAACAAACCGATCCCGATAAATTAAACGTTAGAAAAAACAAATAAAGATAATCAATCCAAATAAATACATGAAGTAATAAACAAATTAAAAACTGCTCCCGCCAAAATAATACTTAGAATAAACTACAGCAATCAACCCCCAAATTGAATAAATAACTTTAATTATCTCCCCAAACCAAATCAAAACTATTAAATAAGCGATACAAACAAATTTTTACTACATTAATAAAAACACCGATTAAAATAAAAATAAAAAAAATAAATATATGATAAGAAATAAAAATAAAAAATAAAAACAAAAATAAATGATGACAAGCAAAATAACCCAAATAAATAAATGGACAAATAAATAAATAAATAAACAAATAAACGACTTCCGGTAAAATAACCGTCAAAATAGACTACCCACAATGCACCACTGACCCGTATATATAAATAGTCGAGAAAATTAATAGCACTCGTGGCCTGATGATTGCGTCTAGCATGAAACAGACTGTCGCTTCTAAGTCTTGACTTCTATGTTCACTTTTAGATTTACACACGCTCTATCTCTGATATTGAGCACTTTATCCCATAAATTTAGCACACCTTAAGACTAAATAATATATATATATATATATATATATATATATATATATATATATATATATATATATATATAGCAATGTCAAAGATAGTATGAAGCCAAAAATGCTGCCAGTCAATGGGATACTGAGAGAAAAGAAATTTAAGGCGAGCAGTCTTCCCAATAAAGTGTTCGATATCAAATATAATAGAATTAATATACGTAAGAGTTTGTCACTTAGAGTGGATAGACGGGCCCGTCTACGAACCTCTGAGTCGGAATGCTGAGGGTAACATCAGTCAGCTAAATGACAAAATCTTATATATATATATATATATATATATATATATATATATATTCTATCTCTTTATTGACATGCCGTGATGATTGATCGCTGCCGTCCTTTAGCCCGTAGACCCCGATTATCCGCTTCATTTATTGTTATTCGCGTATAACTTGATAGAATAAGAACCACCAAAAACACTTTATCATAAAGAGATCTTGAATTGCTGTCAGATAAAAGCTTTTTTCGTTACTTTTCGCATACAATCCTGTATTACCTGCGGTCTGGAGAGGAGATAGGCACCGTGAGTAATCTCTGATAAGCTTTGTATTGAAAGCCACGGGTCTTTCTAATCCAGCCAACCCACGACTTTCATTGCGAAGAGTTAAATGAAAATGCAAAAAAAAAAAAAAAAAAAATCTTTCATGTTTCGGAGATTTTAGACGCCTTATTTTGGTTTAGCGTAGAAAATAAGTTTTCAAATCGAGAATGTCCGCAGGTCAACTCATGGGTGAGGCAGAAATAAACGCCGGGTTTATTATCGCTTTTGCAATGGGTTAAAAGAAAAGAAAAGAAAAGAAAACTTTCTTTCATTCTCATCTGAAAGATTCGCTTTTGTCAGATATGAGGATTTCACGTTACAAAACAACTTTTGCTATAAATCAGGAGACCAAAATAATTTCTTTTTTTTCTTAAAAAAAAAAGTGAACTGAACGACACGAAAGATTTGCGGGTAAAAAAAGTTGTTCTTTAAAGAGTTGTTGATAATTGTCAAATGATTCCTTTTGAATTTCAGTGTCAAAACCAGAAGCAGTTTTCATTGAGAGTTTGGAAACCTTTTTATTGTTTGGCTTTTTGAAGAAGCGTATTGAAGAATATTAATTCTTTCTTTCTTTCTTTCTTTCTTTTTTTCTTGTACTTCAGTTCCTTCTTTCCTTCACTTAATTTCTGCCTTTCTTTTACTTAAATTCTTTCTTTCTTTCTTTCTTTCTTTCTTTCTTTCTCTCAAATTCTTTCTTTAATTTATTTCATTCTTTTACTTACATTTTTAATTTATTTTTCATGAAAAGAGATTATTTTGAAAAATCTATCTATCTACCACAGTTTCTTAATATCTATCTATCTATCTATCTATCTATCTATCTATCTATCACAGTTTCTTCACATCTATCTATCTATCTATCTATCACAGTTTCTTCACATCTATCTATCTATCTATCTATCTATCTATCTATCTATCTATCTATCTATCTATCTATCAGTTTCTTCACATCTATCTATCTATCTATCACAGTTTCTTCACATCTATCTATCTATCTATCTATCTATCACGGTTTCTTCACATCTATCTATCTATCTATCTATCTATCTATCTATCTATCTATCTATCTATCTATCACAGTTTCTTCACATCTATCTATCTATCTATCTATCTATCTATCTATCTATCTATCTATCTACCTATCTATCTATCTATCTATCTACGCCATATCACATGAATAGCCACTTCATGTTTTATTGATCTATAAACTAAATAATTATTGGAATTATAAACGTTTATTTGATGAATGATATCCTAATCTACAGGTGCTGATAATAATAAACGGTAAAGACTTAAACTGAATGCTCTGAATATCAAAGTCACCAATTAATTGCCACATTGAGAGTTGAAATATTTAAATGGCCGTCAATTGAGTGATAAAGAGAAACAGTGTTTAATCACTTCAGATCCTGCAAAAATGACAACACAAGAAATGCCAAAATGATTGACAGATACTATCGAAATAAAAAGAACTTTGTCCAAGATGTCTGATAAGGTCAAAATGTGAGGACGTGAAGTCTTGTAAAGCTGCTCGTCTTAAACAAGACGGAAATATTTCAACATCAAATGACAAAAGTAAAGCTATTTTTTCTACTCACAATGCGATGCCCCACGGACGCTGTTCCTTCATTCAGTGGAAGTCGATTCCTTTTGGAAGCAAAGCGTCATGTCGAATCGGAAAGCTTTTCGGGATTCCACACAAAAAAGAGCTGAAAATAAAAAGAAAGTTGTTGATGATTTTTAAAGAAATTAGACAAACATGAAATAATTATTCAATTCAAAACTTATGTGCGTGTGTTCAAAATACGAATATATATATATATATATATATATATATATATATATGCAATCCCTTTTGCAGACGCTTGTTCAGGCACATTTGTGTTTATTCAACACCCACAGAGCCAAACTGTGGTTTATACTGCAACTTTACTGAGTAAACCGTAGTTACAGTTTCTGGGAAAGAGCGTGTTATCTACCGTGATCAACAATTTGAAGAAGGTCAGCACGCTAAATCCCTCGGCCTCGATGACTTGTGACTTCGTGCTATCAGAGCTGTTGATGGGTCCGTCTATCCAATTTCACCCACAAGGCTTGGGTTAACCCGTGGTATGGTTTTCAGGCACTTTCTCCCCTCCAGTCCGATAACATCGGGACGTTTCCTTCCTGACAACTCGACCATAGTGAGATTAGAACCGAGTCTCTCGGTTAAAATGCGAACATTCTAACCACTCAGTCACGTGTCTATATATATATATATATATATATATATATATATATATATATATATATATAATGCATGCTTCATTAAATGATATAGGCAAGATTTGTCTATTTTAAGTTATTTCCTTTCATATTGTCTGATAAGCTTAATAACATTATCATTGAAAGATGAAAGGAAATCACCATATTGATACATTCCGTGTCTCGTATACACGAGTTGGTCCTTGCTCTGAAATTTTTCATGCAACAAAAACAGTCTATCATTACTGTTTCGTCCGTGTATTGGTTGATATATTGAAAAGTAATTGTCATCTTTGATAATGGGTTATGTAAGCTGAAAGCTTAGATCAGATTTAAAAATGTATCAATATGGTGATTTCCTTTCGTCTTTCAGTGATAATGTTATTAAGCTTATCAGACAATATGAAAGGAACTTACTTAAAATGTCTATATTATCTAATGAAACATGCATTAATGAAAAATTGCTGCCTAAATATACACAATATATATATATATATATGAGCAATCCCTTAATATATATAATATATATATATATGAGCAATCCCTTAATATATGAGCAATCCCTTAATTGTCGTCATTTATATATTTAACTTTGCGCATGCGCGTTGTTTGTTTTGATTCTGTCGTTTGCTCAGTATAGCAGGGTCAGTTGGGCACCGTCTATGAGAAAAAGAGCCCCATGACGCAATTCGCTTTGCCAGAAATTTGGAAACCGCATGCTGCACTGCTTGGCATTGCAAACATTTCAGAGTGTTTGGGTCTCAATCTGAAGATTCAGAATGAGTTGGAGGAGTCTAATGGGGATTACGAAGGTACGGCAGATCAGCAAACTCACTCTGATCATTCTAATAAGAAATGAACTCCAGATTTTGTCAGTGAGGGGCTCAGACTCAATATGGGGGCCTACATCAAGTGCCTTGAGGAGGTAGTGCTACCCTGGGTCATGAGGGTATGAAGACCATATGTATAGAAACAGGACTCTTCACAATATCACAGAAGCAGGTAACCCAGTCATGACACTCAGACAATTTCTGCGGCCACATCACACCTTACATCTGGCCACCTAACTCCCCAGACTGCAGCCTCCTTGATTATTATGTGTGCGGCTCATTTGAGCGGGAGACCAACAAAACTCCTTGGAAAACCAAAGATAACCTAAAGGCAAGGATTATCGCAGATTTCATCAACTTAAGCAAGGAGACCGTCCAGAAGAGTTGTAGGATATTCTCACGTGATCTGGGAACCGTCGTTAAAGCCAATGACGATTTTATTGAATAAATGTACTCTTTATTATTTAAATATATTTTTGTGTAATTTTAGTAAATGTATCTGTTTAAAATAAGAAATGACAGTATTATTTTCATTTTTTGCGTAATTTAGACGACAATTTATCTATCGCACCTTGTACAGTCCCCTTCAAAAGTCTTGGAACGGCACGACCAATTCCTTTGTTTTAGTTGTTCACTGAAGACATTTGGGCTTTTAAGATCAAAAGACTAATATGAGACAAGAGTTCAGGGTTTCAGCTTTTATTTCCTGGTATTTACATTTAGATGTCTTAAACAATGTAGGACATACCACCTTTTGTTTGAACCCACCCATTGGTGAGCAAAACTAATGGACCAAGTAACAGATAAGTGGACGGTTTTAGATTGGCCAAGTCAATTACCGGACCTTAATTCAATAGAGCATGCATTTTATCTCTTGAAGAGGAGACTGAAGAAAAAAACCCCGAAAAAAACAAGAACGGAAAGAGTCTGCGTGGAAAAGCATCACAAATGAAGAATGCAACAGTTTGGTGATATCAATGGATTGCAGGATTGATGCAGTTATTGCAAGCTAGTATTATGCAATCAAATATTAAATGTTGTTTACTTTAAGACTATCTGTTCCTTTACTTTTGCTCACTTAAAAAAGAAGTGATCTGATACAAAAGGTGTTATGTCCTAAACTGTTTAACATATCTAAAAAGGTAAATACGAGAAAATAAAAGAAGAAATTTCGAACTCTTGTCTCATCTTTGGATATTAAACCCAAATGTCTTCAGTGGACAAGATAAACAATGGAATTACCCTTGCTTTCCCAATGCTTTTGGAGGGGCCTGTATATATATATATATATATATATATATATATATATATATATATATATATATATATCTACGCATATATAAAATCCAAAATTTAACAATTAATCAGTTTGTCTGACGATCGTAAATTGCGTGAAACCCAGGATGACATACTCACATCAATCCAACCATATATATATATATATATATATATATATATATATATATATCATTTCTATATATATCATTCATATATTATATATGCGCGGTACTTACTGGAAAGCGCTCAATATCGATGATGGAGCTAACATAGTTGTATTGACGTGAGTTTGTGACCCTGGGTTCCACACCTTTACAATCATCAGGCTTAATTTAAGCCTACTGACAATGTACTGTGTTTAAGTTGTTCGTATAAGTAATTTTCTGGATATAAAGTGTGTAAAATTTGTCCCAATGTTTTAAGTCTGTGCGTTTTCAGTTATTCTTTCAGCAAATATCAAGGATGCTTTTTTTAATTTTTAATTCTAACTGAATGTGGAGATTCTTATGTATGTATCTAGAGTTATCGTAATGTTTTTATTTCTTCTTTTTTGTGGCCGTGATCGTTGTTGACATTATTGAGTGTTGGATTTTTCTGGTTGATTATTCGTTTTTCCATTATATTTAATCTTTTTTACACGTGGATAAAAAGCTATTATACGTGTATTTTCTACAATTATCCTGCGAATAGCGTTCGGTAAGTTTTGATATGTGTTTAAATGCATCCTAATTAACGTGTGATTACATCCTCTCTGATCATAACCCAGTCTAGCCTGCTATTAAGCTGATGAAACGAAGAAATTGATTTACACATTTTCCGAGGCTATTTCCACATAAATGAATATAAAGAACGACTAAATTTGGTAAATTCTCGAGAAAAAATGTCTAGAACGATACATTGAACCAATTTTCTTAGCAGCAGACCGA